TTCGACCTGTCTGGATTCAATCCATGTCAACCTGAGCAAACAATGCTGCTTTAACCTCTCAGCCATCTGGCCATCTTTTTTAACACTTTAGTTTGAATTAATGAATTAAAAGTTTGTTTGTTTTGCTTTGTATGTGGCAATGCAACACATGGGTGATTTGCTGATTGGATGCCTCCTGAGAGGACTTTCTTTGGAAAATTGGCCCCTATTTAGATATTACTAATGTGAAGAAAACATAAAATAACATGCCAGCCCATTGGCAAGGTGTGAACCAGAGATCAACTACCAGAGTTCAGTGGTTTTATTCACTCAGCCACTGGTGGGCCATGAATTAGGCCAATAGATTAGTGGAATAGTATTAGATTGCTTAGTGAACAATCTAGCATAGTTTCCAGAAATACTATTATGATTATCAATAAAATATAACTTTTCTACATTAATAAGAGGATTAGGGTAACTGGCAATATTTTTGGCAACTTGTGTTCCTTAACAAAGCTGTAAACAATCATAAATTTCAGCACAAATTCTTTGAGATCTGAGTGTTTGAGGAGGTAATTGATTGATTTAATTTGCTAAATCAAGCTATTAACAATATTGAAATTTTTTGACAAAACAGTAACTTTATCATTCATAAATTATTATTGAAACTTATTCTTTTGTTTACTTGTGTAAAATATCTTAAATTTTGAATAAATAGCTTTCTTATCTTTGTAAATTGTTGCAAATTCTGTATTTGAATACTGTATGTTGAAATAAAGGTTATAAATGACACCCTCTTTTTTGTGCCTACCTCCCATATGTATATGTATATGACCACTTTTGATTTTTCTCAAGAGTGGTAACAAATGTGAGATTTCATTGCATAAAGGATCATCTACAAGTAACAATAATTATAAAAATTATTCAATAATTAACAAAGCTTATTCAATTAATTAATGAAAGATAAAAATTTTAAATACAGGTAACCCCCGTATAACACGGTAGTTACGTTCCAAAAAATTGCCTTGTTATGCGAATCCGTGTTATACGAAACAAAGAACTAATACGAAAAGGAGGGTTAGGTTCCAAAAATTAAAAAACATGCTAGTATATTTTCATAATTAAGATAAATATCTTCATTAAAATTTTTTAAGTGATACATATTAATATAAATTAAACAATGTTTTCTTCGTCATCACTAAAAACACTATTAATTAACCGAGAGCGTTTTCTTTTTGGCAAGTTATCCTTATTCTCTGAGCATTTTTCTGCATTATCTTAAGATCCATGCTTTACCTTTTGCAAAATGTATGTAATTTTAGATTGCTCGCTTCTAGTTAAAAGGTCTTTATAAATTTCCTTATATGGTGCTAAGCACTTATGAAGAATAAAGCAAGTATGGAATAAGGGAAAAACATTCGGCAACATCAGAAACAGAAGCGTTGCGATCTGGCAACATTGAAACAAGTTTCGAGAAGGACCACGTGTATCGACAGAAGGTGAGAAGAGAAAATTTACATACTTAAGTACTAATAGTTCACGAAAATAATAATTTTCGTGAACTATTATTACTTAAGTATGTAAAAATTTATTACATTTCCTGTTGTACGAGGGTTTTACCCAATTCTCGAACCATGTTAGAGCGAATCCGTGCTATAGAAGTGCCGTGTTATACGGGAGTTACCTGTATGTCAATTAATTTTTTACATGTTCTTAATTAAAATAAAGATATCTTAAAACAAATTATTACAAGAGTCAAAATATGGATTTGTTCCTTCAAATTAACGCAGGAGGATGTGTTGTATGCTTTAAAAATCTCCATTGCTTCCAACCATTTGAGGTGCTCAAGGTGTGGGGTGGTGACTATTTATTTTTCTCCTGTGAAGTCTGCTACAATTTCAGGATCTGTGGCATATGTGGAGAGTGAGGTTGTACATCTATTGTGTTGTATATCTGACTTATGTTCTTTTAATCTGACCCCGATTGAACATTTTGTTGATCCTATGTACACCATATCGCTATCAAATCAGTTGTCCCTAATAGGAACCCTATAGATGCCCGGTAATCTGTCGATGTTAGACTGGTCTTTTCCATTGCATAATATGTCGAATAGAGTGGGGCATCTCCTGTATGGAATTCTGACATTATGTTTCTTTGCTATAGCAGTGGGAGTTGAAAGTAAGAGGTATCTTCTCAATATCTATTGTCTGGTTATCACTCTGTGCCACGAAGAACTCGGAAGGGGTTTTGAAAACGTTTGGATTTATTACATTTTACTTATTATGCACCAGTTAAAGGTTCATGTGAGTCCATTTTTTGTCAACTTTCTCTTTTAAAATACAGTAGAGCCTCGATTATCTGACTCAATTGGAAACTGGGGTTGGTCGGATAATTGAAAAGTTGGATAACCGAAAAGCATGAAAAAATCCATTATTAGTATAGTATATTATTATATCCTGTGTAATTAGTATATTAGTATATCGCTATTAACCTACTTCACGTTGAATTTTCATCGATGTTAAGCCTAACAAAAATTTTTTTAAATAATAATCGTCACTATTGTATCATTAAAAATTAGAAAATTAAGCCTCGTTTAAATACTGTCTCCTTTCATGGTCGAATGAGTGTTGCCAGCTAAAACATGTAAAAATAATATTAAAGTAGCCAAGACAGAGCCAAATATTGTAGCGCCACATCACTAGTGGACATTTGAAATTTGCCGATTAGGACGATCGGTTAACCGAGGTGTCGGTTAATTGGGGGTCGGATAATCGAGGCTCTACTGTACTAGACAGCAGTAAAATTTAGTTTTAAAATTTACATAAACTAAGATAAAATTATCAAATGTGTCAAATTTTTTACTTATTTACACTTAAAAGGCATTTTTGACAATTCAGTATGTCTGCAATGTCCTTCTAACTCTAATTAACAGACCCAGAGGTCACTCAGATGTATATTAACAAGTTGTTTTTGTTAAATGTATTTTAGATCTGTAACTTGTCAATCCCTCTTCAGTGAATAGATGTCCTACAACTACAACAATCTACAACAAGAATCACGTCCTCCTGTATGATAATTAACCAACCACTATATAGCAATACTGAAATGCATCTAATAAAAAGAATTTTTTCTGGTTTCTGTTAATTTTCTGAGTTAGAAGAGCATTGCAGACATGTTGAACTGTCAAAAAACTCCTTTTAACTTTTATATTTATACTTTTCATCAATGTAGTAAAACTTATTATTTTGAAACAAAATTTGGTAGTATCTTATATGTATTTTATTTTCAATTAAAAATCAAATGATAAAAAGTAAATTATATATCTATACTAATATTATAAAGAGGCAAAGTTTGTAAGTTTGGATGTAGGAGGTAATCTCCAAAACTACTCATCTGATTTCAAAAATACTTTCACCTATATTTAGAATGGACCTTCAGGATGGACATAGGCAGTATATTATTCCATTAAACATTCATATAAATTAAAAGATATCATCTAGGTAAGTGCTATATTTTTGATGTCAGCAGGTGGCGAGAGGCAAGACATGTACGTACACAAGATAAGTAACCACGCAGTGCAGTTGCATAATCAGCGAGATACGCAGTGCATGTGTCCGAACTTGTCTATATATATATATAAAATTACATGTCCTGACTGACTGCTGATTTATCATCACCCAGAGCAAACCGCTGAACGTAGAGGTGAAATTTGATACAGTTAGGTACATCATGAAAATGCACGCTAAGAAGAGATTTTTGGAAATTCCCCATGGGGAGATTGGGAGAGGATTAAGGCTTCACCTGAAAAATGGCTTCAACTGTACTATTTTAGATGCAATTTTTTGTTTTTGATAGTAATAACTTAATTTCCAAACATACAATATTTACCAAATCATCCAAATCATTTGCCTGAGCAACACCGAGCTCATTTGCTAGTATGTATATATAGAACCTCGATTATCCGGACTAATTGGGGATGAAGGTAGTCCGGATAAGGAAAAATCCGGATAATCAAAACAAATACTTTAATTTGTCTTTTAATGATAATACAACATGTTTTCTTTTCGATGACATATCGGTAATATTAAAAGTAAATACTGTATTTAAATCGTGATCAAATTTTCAAGAAACAAACTTTCGTATTGAATTTGGACTACTACTGACCAACGCTACCAGACTACCTATTGTTTAAAAGGCCCTCTGGTAGTGCAAGAAGACGGATTTTATAAAATAAAAAGCAGTTGAAACTGCATTTTTATGAATAAAAATTTGACAAACTATTTATCGTTTTATGACGAGTAAAATTTTTTCGNTCTGCTATTGGCCAGCATTAACAGAAAATAAATGTTACGAAGCCCCCACACATCTCATGCACGTGTGACCTGCACGGTTGCATGCATGATGATGATAATAATAACGTGATAAATACCCCCTAAGTACCTTTTGGAAAGTTTTACGTTCCCCATTTTTCTTATTTATTTATTTTTTAAATTTCGTGTTTTAATTGCGTCTGAACCCCTCGCCGTTTTTCTACCGTGTGAAACGCCTCCCCGCAACCGACTGCTGCCTAAGTTGCGATACGATACATTAAAATCCCAAATAGATATTTGAAATGCAACGAACAAATGTCTATCGGAGTGGTGTGATGTGAATAATGAAAGCTGCAAAGAATTACGCTTAAATTTATGTATTATTATAACATCATTTATATATATATGTATATATGTATATTTATGTGTATGTGTATATATATATATATATATTACAGTTTTAATTTAATTTAATTTGTAAAACTAATAATTAAAATTTGATTTTGATTTATGAGTAAAATATAAAAACTCAAATTATTACTGCATTTCTCCTTGATAAATTATATTATATTTACATGAATATAATAATTCATTATAACAATAAAATTTGTATTGTATATAAACAAATTTATATCTATTTGTTAATAATTATGCTCTAATAATATGGAAAATTAAAAGCATGTATCATTTTTATCATAATTATTTTAATTTATAAAAATAAAAATTCTTACAGTATACGTCCTGTGGTCTCTGTAAGTCCAGTGACACAAGAAGCAATAGCTAAACTAAATACTATTAATCCAAAAGTAATATGGGTCGGTAGCAAACGTTGTCGGAATTTAGCAGTAGCAGTTTCACAACAAAGGAAAACAAGAAATGTGAAAAATCCAAAGAGTAACTGAAATATATTGAAAAATATATTTTAAATTAGACAAATATATTAATAACATGCATATATTAATAATTAAAAAGTATTGAACAAGTACTTTTTGGCAACCAAAGTATTGAAAGATTTTCATTAAAATAAACGCCAATAAAGCAGATTGTTTTTATTGTTATATTCTTTAAAAAACTTGGAGTTATTTCACATTACAATAATTTTATTTCTCTAAATTGTGATTTAAGTCCCCCTTTAAATTGATCTTTTCTTCAAAAATATTCCAAAATTATTAAATTTATTACTAAAATTAATGTAATAATTAATATTTGTTCATGGCAGATAATCATTTGCAACATCTGTATGCATATCAACAAATTCCAATGCATTTATTAAAACTCAATGTGGTGTGTCTTAACAGCCACATTTATCTTTGACCATTCTTCTCAAAGAGACTCTATAACTTGCTCTATTACTACCCAAGAGATATTGGAAAATGCTGAACAGTTTTGTTGTCCAACAATTGTAGCAGTGATGATATCTTACATTAACCATTTTTATGCAAGCTGTGGCACCTTCATATATTAGATACTGTTTCCACATCAACTGCTGTAAGCATTAACAGATCCAGAAGTATCAAAAGGAAAAACTAATAAAAAAAATTACAAATATTTGAATGATTAAATTAATGATCTTTTATTAACTGTGAACAATGATTGTATTGCAGATCCTCTGATAAATCATATTTGCCATCATAAATGTTTTTAAGAATATTTTGAAGTTTCTATGTCTTGCTATGGATGCTGGGGATTATTCATTGTATATAAACTGACTTTGAAGACAATGAGGAATAATCATTAAAGAAGGGTGAAAGATATCTTTATTCTAAAAATGGCTTGAAGGAAGCAATTATTAGATTATTACATTTATTCAATTACAAATAAAAGATCTGTAATTTAATAAAGTTTCCTTCAGCCCATATTTAGACTGGAAAAAGGACTATTCCTCATTGTGTTCATACTTACTTTACATACAATGAACGTTTTGAAGTTTAAACAAATATATTTTAATTTTTTGTGTCAATTAGAGGAAATTAAGCCACTGTAATCCTCTCCTTGTGTATGCCAAGTAAAATGCCATGCTCACTGAAAACAGGAGTGATTAGTTGTATATTTCCTACACTATGGCCATCTTGTTCTCTATCTCCAGATCTTAATTCTTGTGACTTTTGGTTGTGAAGTCATTTAAAAAAAAAAAACATGATTTATCAAGATGATAGCTCTAACTTGGCATCCTTGAATGACAGTATTACATTACATGTGAAAAGCATCAAGTAGATCAGTTATTCTTGGTCACTGAACTCACTGTTCATCAACTTCAGAATGGAGGACATAGTGAACAGTATCAGTTACACCATTATGGTTGATCTTTTCCCTTGTGCACTTACAATATTGAAACAATGAAACACATATGTTTCTTTGTGCTTCTCAATTACATAATTTCTCTTGAACAGATTACAATTATCACATGTTTTTTGCCACTCACAGTTCCATAAATCCATAGTGGTGTGGTCTGGAACTAAATTTTTCCTTCAGGAAATCTCTTCTACATGTTCAAAGCCAAGTTTTGGTCAATAGACAATGAAGTTACATAAGACTACGGACAAATAGCATTCATTCATTTCTTTTATATTTGCAGAATAGGCTAGAAATCATGAAATTTCTATTGTTTGTTGATAATGGAATTTGGGGCGTTGGGCCCCCTTGGGGATTAGGAAAAAGACAACCCAGACGAAAAGGGGAACATGTGCTTCAATATATGGGCACATGATCAACCTGTATACACCAAAATAAAACCAAAAATATAAATTGATATTTTTACTATGTTTACATAAATTAATATAAATTTTGGTATATTAAAATGATATACTGTATATCTAAATTAGAAGTCAATGTTAGTCTACTTTCATTTCATTGTTAACTGATAATATTAACATATTAAACATTATATAAACATTTATGTTAGCATAACAACAATTATTTTTTGTTTGGTAATAACCACAATAAACTTCTTGAAAATACTTAAAAGCAGATATAAACTTGTGAATATCCTGTGATTTCTTTGGGCTTGGGTGCCCAAAAGTAATTTACTCAAGAAGAGTAAATTTGTAATTGTTACTTATTAATTTAGTGAGTACCAATAAAGTAGACTTTTAAATTATTAAAACCAAATACTGACTAATGTGCTTAATAGTCTTAGATAATTTTCCATCAGATGAATTTCATTATTTGCTTCATAGCATATTTCATAGCATAGCATGAAATGTATTAGACACTTTATGCCCAATACATTTCAATAAGATTTTTAATAAAGTATGTCATGACCCTCTTTATATAAATAAATTAATGAAATTTATATCACTGGAATCATCCCAAAGGATTTCAATCACAATATATTAATCCCAAAACCCAAGTAAAAAAGGGGCACTAAAGTGTGAAGATCACAGAACACTAAGTTTAGTTTCACACTTATTGAAAATCATCAAAGGGATAATATTCTACAAGTTAGAGATGTTCATCAATGGCAATCTCTTTGAGGTCCACTTTGGTTTTAGGAAAAACAAAGGCACAGGAGAGGTCGTTTCAAATCTACTCACGATCATAGAAAAATTAATAAGAGCAGATATCAGTATTCATTGTTCTTATTGATATATAAAAAGCATTTGATAATGCAGATTGGACAATAATGTCAAACATTCTAAATGAGTTGAGAATTGACTGTAAAGACAAGAATAAATATACCAAACGTACAAAGACCAAGTAGCATTAATAGGGAAAGGTAAGAAAAAAGCAAAAATTTTGACAGAACAGACAGGGCTGTGGATCACTATTTTATTCAACATTTATATAGAACAGTGTTTTTCAACATTTTTAATCTCACAGCACACTTAAATCTATAATTAAATTTACACAGAAAAAAATCACATTATTTAAAGTTGTGTTTGTATTCTATCATCATATTACTTGCCACTTAGCCTAATTCTTTTTTTTTTTTTTTGTAGATTAAATAAAACAGTATTGTTGTTGTTCCTTAAAATAACATCAGGTCAGAACAATAAGTTATTTAAATTAATAATTTTCATTTACATAAGATAAATTTGCATTTAAAAGTGGCATGATAACTGCCTTTAGAAACCTGCCCAATCTCCCGCAATTTCTAAGTTAAAATAATTTGAACTAAATATGAACAATTATAGATACATTTTTGATTAAAAGAAAAGTTTATTTTAAATGAAATAACCTGGTGTTATGCACGTATAATTTTGCTTTTGAATATATATTTTCTACTACATTATGTATATGTTTATTTATTATAACAATGAAAAACTCATATAATCAATTTAAAAAGATTTTAATACAATCTCAGCAAAACTACTGGTATTAAACAATAAAATACGTAATTAAATGGTTGTTGGTAATTATGTATTTTATTAAAGAGGTTTTAATTTTGACATGCACACTTATTGTTCTTTAGGCTTCATTTGAAAATAATTTATTTAATACACTTCAAAAATTTTCGTGGCACACTGATTGAAAATCACTGATATAGAAGAAGCTATGAAGCAGTACATGGAAACTAATTGTAATGGTATTAAAAAAAACATGGTGAAACCAAGTTAAAAAGTAAAATGCAAGTATAAACATCTAAGTAAAAGAAATTGAAAGTTGTAGCATAAAAATACTGGAATCAAATTTTACAGTAAGACTCAACGTGTGAATAAAAAATTAGTTAAAAGAAAAATGGGATTGTTAAATTCTCCTTTAGTTCTCTAATGTAATGTCTGCTCTCATCAATAGTAAGATAATCCATCTGATTTTATAACTTTTGATTTAGAATTATCTAAATTTAAGTTAAATATGGAAAAGAAAAATATAATTACCAGTAATACTGTAACTATATTAGCTATCACTAGCTATCCTATTTTTAGACATGATTCCCAAATTATACTATGTTCTTATACATTTTCAAGAGATGCTTCCCTTTTTTTGTATAAAAAAATTACTGCACCCTCTATATTTTTTCTAAAAGCTTACTGACAAGGTCTGAATACCTAATCTCTACTTATGTAAGTAGCAACATGAACATGTCGAGAATATCATATGGTACCAATTCTTTCAGTGAGGCCATTCACTGAATAAATTTGTGACATGATACTCCCAACACATTCATGTTGCAACTCACATAACTAAAACTAGGCATCCTCATTGATGCCAAATCAGACCTCTTTTCTAGGAACAATCTTTCATAATTTCTAGAAACAATCTAGAAACAGAATTTCAGATTGTTTATAGAGATGTAAGTCTCATAGTTTAAGATTCACTGCAGTATCCTTTCTTGTAAACAGCAGTTGAATTTATATAAATTTTTTATTAACAAGATTTGATATAATAAAATCTTATTAATTTTTCATTACTTGTTTTTGCCATAAATAATTGTTAATTGTAAAATATTTGTGATTATAATATGAATAGATTTTTGAAATATTGGTTTCAGTAGTCAATGCTATTATCTTTTATGACATGATTTTTAATTCAGGCATTTAAAATTACATAAAATAAAAATTAGACTGAATTAAATTATTTAATTTAAATTTTATTTTATAAAATGAAAAATATTTAAAAATTATTTAATTTTCTAATGAACGTTTACTTTTGACACTTATTTTTAATTTTGAGAATTTAGCTGATTATTTAAAATAATTACGCTAACCAATTTTGACTATAAAAAAGATATCTGATGTATGATAATGGTTATTGGTATATCTCTAATGTGATATTTTAAAATCAGATAAATTAATCAAAAAGAAATTTAATTTCTATATTTTATTTATTAAATAAATATTACCTGTAAAGCAAATAGTCCAATAGTTGTCAATCCAATCCATGAGTGAATGCTATAAAAATGTTTTGGATTGATATCATTATTTCGTGCTTGAATAGCAGAAACCAGTCCAACAGTTATACTTGAAACAGACATCACAAAAATGATAGTATGCACAACTTTGCCATATATCTTTTTACAGCATGGAAAGAGTTTGTAAACCAATATTGCTGAAAAATAAAAATAGTAATTTAAAAATTTAAGTTAAATCTTTGTATAATTAAACCAATGATATATTTGAAATAAATGTCATAAAAATTACAATGCTAACAATTTTATATAAATAATATAATGAATATAACTTTCTGTAGATCAATATATATATTTGTTTTTATTTGTGTCTTTCTGTGGCTCAATGTAACCTTGAAAACCAATTTATTCCAGTTAAATGAACAATTAGAACTTTCTTCTATTACCAATGATTTCTAGATCTTTACCAACTAGAATGAGGATAAAGTAATCTGATGAATAATTGTTAATTTATAGAAGCATTCCAATTTTTTTCCAGTGTGAACTTCTGAGAAACTATGTCCTTTTGATATAAGTCTACCTTTTCCTATTATATTCTGTTTTTCTCAAGGCTCTAAATGATATTTCAAGTTGGTGATCCAGGATACACAATAGTAATTGTTGATTGTTCATTCACTAAAAGTACTACTATTACACTGGGTACAAAATTTACCACTCTGCACATGACTGGCCCAATACCAGTCATGATGTGCAGAGTATGTCAGTACTGACCCATTTAAATTTTGAATTGCACTCGTGTTCTTTTCTAGGCATTCCATTTGATATACTACCAAAACTGTGCAGAGCTGAGGTGATGTCATTATCCCCCATGTTCATTGAACTTAGAAACAAAAAGGAATCATATAGGACTAAGACTGAAGAAAACTCTGAAAGGTAGGTAGTTTGCATTTGATACGGAGACACTCAAAGTCACAATGACAACTCTCATATCCTTCCAAAAACTGTCAGTTCTGACAACTTTTGGAAATTATTGATTAAATGTTATATCATATATATATATATATCATATCATATATATGTTATATCATATATATATGATATAACATTTTGGTGATGGTAGAGCTGTCCAGGTCAAGGGAAGTTACTTTAAGTATGACAAATCATAAGAAGAAATAGTAAAAGATATAATAAAATTCTATTAATCTATGAATTAAATGAGCACTGTTGTATAATAAAACAATCTAGGATATACAGTGATCTTTTGTCTTTTGCTGAGATTAAATTCTGGACATGTACAGGATAAATTATATTTTATTTTAATAAAAAAGGTAGACATCATCATAAGACCAATAATACTAATAAACATTCAAAGAGATGCTTTATTAATGTGATTAAGTGTTTTTTGAGATAGTTCATGTCTCATCTTCACATCAATATACAAAGAACATTTGAAGAATATACACTGTCAGGTGCATATTAAATATAAATAAGTTTAAAAGACAGACACTCTAATAAGACTAGGATTTTTTTCAGTTGGAACACACTGGCATGCTGTACCAATAAATAGCATAAAAGTGTTGATAGCCACTATACAGTATTGGCAGTTGCTCAGTACGAAAAATTCTGTTAAGGTGAGAAATCTGGTGACTGCATGATAAAAACAAACTGAATTGGGCCACTCAATCAGCCACAATGAATGCCATAGTGTGAAAAGAAAATGGGGCAAGACTCCTTTTCTACCAAAGACTGTCTTTTGACAAATGGACAATTGCCTAGTAATTGTCTGATTCCATAACATTCTTATCAAGAAACAAGATACAGAGAAGCACTAATGATAACAGAAGCTAAAATTAGAAATAATTTTGGTTTATTCATCCAAAAAAACCCTTTTAAGTGGTTATAGAAGTGACTAAAGAAAACATTTTGAAAGAGAAAAGTAAAAACATGGCTACTAAAAGGATGTTATTTAGCAACTGATACTCTGACACTCCTGTAAAAGCAAAACAAGAAATAGAGAAGTGGAGATATACAAAAACTTTGAAAAGATTATAAATGCTACAAATGTATACATTTATAAATAAAAAAATAAATAATTAGTAGTATTAAACACTGGTTTGTTAATTATTGTTACATTTTTCCTAAACAGAACTTTATTTTTAGTCACTATACATGTGTACTGGTAATAATATTTAAAAAAAAGAGTACTAAATGAGATTAATACAGTACATGTTAATAAACTGGCATGAAGTAATGAAGCATCTTTATGTGACACAAATAACAACATACCAATATTTAATTAGAATATCATGCATAAAAATAAAAAATTACACATAATATAAGACTTGTGAGGATCATGTGACTCTACATCACATCTGCTATTGAGGAACTAAGCATTAAGATTGAATTCCAAAACTAGATCCGAATGACATGGTCAGGAATATCATGAATATTGGTAAATAAGCTTGAGAGGAAGGAAAAACTTCTTTGCTTATTGAATTACTTTTCTTTGAGTGAAAGAGAGACATTACACTACTTTGTTAACATATATAAGAACAGTTAACAAGTCCAGTAGAGATACAAAAGTCCTTATCTATACACTTGGGACATCTGTCAACAGTTCACAGTCAGTGGAAAGCTAGTCCAAGTCTGATTGTAGTTATGCTACTGCTGGAGTTTGTTGACAGAAAGACACACCTAGGTTGACTCACAGTCCCAAACTTTGGTTTATATAATACTGTGTAGACAGTACTACATAAAAAAAAATGGATAAGAATTGATATAATCCCTTGTGGCAAGCACTACATAAAGAAATTGGACAGCAATTGACCACTTGTTACGACTTTTGTCCTTGTTTAACATTCTTGACAGCAATACCAAAAGCGCTCAGCAACTAAATAATAATAAAGAAAACACCTTTTTTTGCCGAGAAATAAATATAATTTGCAAAAACAAACGTTTTCAGCCTAGTTAATAGGCCATCTTCAGGTCGAAAAAATGGAACGCAAATGTTCCATAAATAGAACATAAAAATATTTAAATCAAAAAATTTTACAAGTAAAAATAACGGAAGAATATATAAACAAATTAATTAATTAATTAATTAAAACAGNCTCAAAGAACATAGATACGCCATAAGAAAAGCATCTAATTCAACGATATTGTCACAAATGGCGCAAGCGCAAGGCTCTGAGGTTAAATGGGATGAGGCAACAATCATCAAGCCTCTGTCTTCCCCAACTCTAGCAATGACGGCGGAGAAAATTGAAATATACAGAAGTAGGATAGGGGAAGGCTGTTTAAATGCGAGAGATGCGGAGAGCCTACCATCGGCATGGAAATATTTGGTAAAGAAATATACTAGAAACTTCGACCAGAATTAATCCATTGAAGATTTATGTTATTTCTGTTTTAATTAATTAATTAATTTATTTGTTTATTTATTCTTCTGTTATTTTTTACTTGTAAAATTTTTTGATTTAAATATTTTTATGTTCTATTTATGGAACATTTGCGTTCCATTTTTTCGACCTGAAGATGGCCTATTAACTAGGCTGAAAACGTTTGTTTTTGCAAATTATATTTATTTCTCGGCAAAAAAAGGTGTTTTCTTTATTATTCTTGACAGCTTTAATTTCACAGCTTGCTTCAGTTTCCTCGGAGTTATACAGTAGTGCTCAGCATTAATTGTATGGCGTTTTTGAGAAGCTCAATGAGGAGTGATCCTAGGAACAACATGTGAAAGAAATGCTGCACCTTAAGTGGAGTAGTGTATCAGATGTTTCAAAGATACCTACCCATGTGTATTTTGTTCATTAATAAGTTGATGTAACATCCACTGAGCAAAAATTTTGTGATAGAGGTCACTGGAACTGCTCGATGACTATGTGAACAGATCCGTTACTGATATTCAGCTCTGCTGCAATCACTATACTTTGGATGACAACTGGCATTACCACAAATCCATTACAGATGGCTGAGATGGTCTCAAATCACATGACATTCAAGATATCTCACTTATTGGTTCAATGAACAGTGAGGTCCATTCCTAACAAGAATGTTATCCAGCATGGGAAACTGTCAAATTAGCCCAGATAGTCCATTTTTAATTGAAGGCTCCTTATAGCTGAATTTGACAAACACTTCAAATAATATCACAATGAATCATTCCAACAGTGAAGTTTGATGGAGACAAACATGATAGTCTAGAGTTGTTTCTTGTAGTTTGATACTAGATCATTGATTATTTTATTCAAAATCATAATGCTGATGTATACCTAGATATTATTTATGTATTAGATCTTATAAATACAAAATTCTAAGTAAAAAATGTTCATGTCATAAATTATTTTGAGAATATTTGCATCCAAAAAATGTACTGGTCAGTGCAGAAAACTTAATTTCTCTAAGAATTTAAATTATTAAATGTGTGAAGGTTATTTATTTTATTTATTTATTTATTTTAGTTACATTAGAAAAAGTCTGATTGAGACTAAAGATTTCCAGCTCTGCATAACAATAAAACCCATTATTTAAGAAGTGTCCTAAAACAAGGCTAAATTAATCAGTTTTGAAAAACAAATGGTAAAAATTTTATAAAATACATATAAAAAGTGAAATGAATTTGACATAATGGAGGCTAAAATTTGTAATTCTTGTTCCTATGTTTTCAATAAACAAAGATAATTTATGTAGAATCAGCAAATATCATGAAATAAACATAAAATGTTATCTACATGTATTTATACTATTAAAATTATGACATCATCTAACAGAAAATAAAGCATATTTCCTTAAAATATTGTCACTAAAAATTAACAAGCTTCTGTAAGAAATTACTTTTCAATATTTATTTGCTTCTCTTCAATTGTGACAAACAAGATATTTTCTTCCATATTTTTTAAATAAACATGATTAATTAAATTTTTCAATTATAAATTATATTCATAGATAAACTACTTATATCTTTAGAACAGTTAATTTCTGATTCATTTACTAATGAGATGATGATGAGAAATATTCATAATTAACTTTGATAACAATCATCTCAAGATAATTTAGATTATTTAATTAGTAATAAATTATAGGTTGACTCTAATTATGATAGTGAAAACTGTACGATCACAAAGTACAGTTAAAAGAGAAAAAACATTCTGTAGCTTATTTGCTTGTTAACTTTAAATACTAATTGAATCACTGCTAGCATTAATGAGAAATCATCAGTCCTGTATCTAGGAATAAATCATTGAAGGGCTAGAGATAAGTATTGTATTGTATAAGTACTGTAATTGGTATTTTTCCCTTTTCCAAACAGCATTAGGTATATTAAGTAAAAATACTGTAATACTGTATTTGGGAACTGCTGACTAAGCTGAGAGGGCTTTTGACTACCTTATAGCCCCTGTAGCTAAGATTCTGAAAATAATGAAATTGTTAATCATAATAATTTAAAATATATAATTCAATTTATCATCATAAAAAAAGATGTAACTTAAATTTACCTTGTCCATTGAGAAAAATAGTTCCACCAATCATAAGAATGTAGTGTAGATTAAATTGTTTTGTTTTATTTTTTTCCCACGCAATACCATCTCGATGTCCAAGAACCCAATAAATGCATAGACCTAATGCTCCACATAGTAAAACTTCGGCTACAAACATTAATACCACAAATCCCATACGTACTATCCACGATACTTCCATATTATTTGTATCATGTTTTCTGTAAAAACAATTTTAAAAAGTTTGTTAAATAAATTGGATAAAACAATTGATTAAACTAATAGTTCTATTAAAAAATAATATGATTATGATTGAATAAGAATAATGAACAAGGAGGCAAACTGATTACTTGCCTTCCTTAGAATCATGTAAAAACTTTCACAAATTGTAATCTTTAAAGTGATTGAGATATGCAACCTTACACCCTCACTCATGACTGTATTCTATAAGCTACTTGTGGAGAAAACCTCAAAAAAAATTAAATTATTTATCTCCAAGCTTTGCCCATCCTGGAAAATTGTCAGACACCCCTAATATGAATATAATTATAACATATTTGTTGAATTAATAGTTCAAAATATACTGTATACTACCATAATAATAATAATCATCTACAGTTTTCTTGATTAAATTTCTGATATTTTGAAATTTGAAAAACTGATCTGAATCATTCTCCTTTCAATATCTTTTTCACTATACAATACTTGGATTTATTAATTTCCTATGCTTAAACTGAAGCAGGTGAATTTAATACAAAGATTTCAAATATTTTACATTCAAACAGGATTTTTAAAAAGAATATTTAAAGAACATAAACATATGCCAACTTAATAATAATTTTCAAAAATACTACAACAATGAAAATATTTTTATTTATTTCTGGTAAAACAGGAAAACATTAGTAACGTAGGTGAATTTTATGAGTAGGAATCATCATTAAAAAGTTTTTTCTCTTCGTTCTAGAATTTATGGGCTGTGTTTTATGTAAAGCACATTTTTTAGTGATTACTTCATAACATTCTTCTGTATTAAAAATGAATATGTAATTTTTTTTTCTTGTTTCAACTATCATCATTGGAAGCAGTGGCAAATCTTGACAATGGAAAACATTCTTATGGTAGGATACACATATAATTTTCATATTAAATACATATTTTTAAAATACTGTGTTTACAACTAAACGATTTGCAGATATTTTGTTATTTCATTTGCATTCAACAAGGTCGACGTTGGAATTTAGGACGTCAGAGATGGTAAGTAGTTTCCAAGGTCAACAAGCTTAATCCTTTCTTGTTTTTGTTTTTCTCCTTAGTTGATGTATTACCAATAATGAAGAATGAAAATAAATATATAAATATATATACGTATGATCTCACACGATAGGAATATTACACACTTATCTACATTATACGCATTTACTTCTGTGATTTCGGCATTAAGATTGCTTAAATATAATGTTTTAAAGCTAATTGCAAATTCAACCTATCATGGGCCTCAAGTTCTCGTGAATTGATCCAGTCAAAAAAATATTATTAGAAATTCTTGTTATTAAAAGTCAAATAAGCCACTTGTATTAGTTACAAACTTCAAACTTCATTCTTCTTATGAAAAGTAATATTGTACAGAATATATTTTTTATTTGATGCGAAATATTTTTTTATTATAAGAATATAAACAAAAGGGATCTATTTAAAAAGTTAATTAAAAATACAAACTAAATTTAAATTATTTTGTTAATAATAGTCACTATATAAGAGCCTATTATATACAGAAGTACAGTCTGTTCTATTATAAAACATGCAAATTTGCTTCCATCCGGCTATAGTTTCCCACGTTACGCCCTTTTTTTTCCCCATCTTTTGACAGAAATTATTGAAGTTTAAAACTTAAATACAGGCATTGTCAACGTTTTGAGTTCTTTTGAAGTAAAGAAAATGTATTTTACCAATTGTATTTATTAACAAATAAAAAATTGTTTATAAAGAAAGCAAAATTGCGACCTTTAACGTTTCATAATTATGAACTTTGTCTAGTCTAATCCAACGTTTCGACAGATAATTTTATCTGATTATGTTTCATAAATATTTACGGGCATATCATGTTGAGAACAAATATAAAATTAACGAATAAAATGTATATTAATTAGTATTGTATAATAGTGAATTAATATCGTCTTTCAATGTTATACCAGTCGACCCCCTATAAAACTGTTGATTTTTCCGTTTTATATGAATTCCATGTTGTACGAGTCACTTAGATTTTATAAATACGTGAGCTGTTCACAGCCCGGCACACGTATTTGTAATCTAAGTGATTCGTACAACAAGGAATTCATATAAAACGGAAAAATCAACAGTGTTATAAGGGGGTCGACTATATATAAGCTTATTAGTCGATAAAACTGTTATCCTATCCATTTAAAATGCCTCTTTATTTGAAGGGTTTAAAAAAAGAATCTCGACAATAGGAAAAGAAATATTAATTTTAAAAATTTGATTAAATTTCCTATTTATTACTTACAGTATTTAATTATACATTTAGTAAATTGTTTCACTTGCGGATAATTTTGTAATTTCATGCTTTAACTAGTATTTTCTCTGAATTATTAAATTAATTAATCTAAATTGATGAAAACGTAAACCAGAATATATTTTACTATTGCTTAATTTTATAATTTTAACGACCCAAACTAGGACATCGCGCGACTTTGTCGTATCGCGATAGAATTGAATCGGAGTCGGAAGGAAGGAAGCGATCCCTGCAGTATCTGACGGATACGGATAGCTAAACTTTACACTTGCCGCCACAAAATAGGCTATCCTCGTACAATACCTGCAAGCCACGGTAGTAGGGTTTCTGTAAAGGCTGTTTTTTAACCCGGGAAATTCTTCTCATCACGGAAAATCTCTCAAATTTCTTAAAAGTTTTTTTTCTTATTATGTGTTATGTTATTGTTGAGGAAATTTTGCAAATAGAAAGTATAATTAACTCTTAAACTATCAGAATACATTTGTATTTATTAGTATTAAGCCTCCTTATATGATGTCTTAATTTTTAATCATGCCTAGTAGCTTCAATATTTGCCAAATGAACTGCCAAATTATTAGGCTATAAGCTTGGTATCTCTATTAAAGCAGCCGAAGTAGACAAATCAAGAATACTACACAGCAAAAGAAGTATTGCAACGCATCTTGAAAACGAACTAGAAATATTTGAGGCTACAGGTAAAAAAAAACACCTAACATCTGTCTTCTCTTAAATGCATTAAAGACAATTCCACCCACATCAATTGAATCGGAAAGGGCATTCTCGGTAGCAGGACTTTTCATTACTAAAATAAGAACTAGATTGAGTGATCGGAGTATTGACCATTTTTGCTTTTTAAAATCTTATTATAAAAATTTACAATAATATTTTGTATTATGTTTTATGCTAAACATTTTCCAACAGACTTTAATAAATTTTTTTTCTATTTGTTAAAATTTCTACGTAATTCAAAGGTAATTTTTAATACATATTTTACACAGCGTTATTATTATTGTTGTTGGTTTGGAGGTTGCGGGACGTATTAAATTCCTTAAAAAATGAAAAATCATTTGATTTTAAGATTTATTTTATATGTTAAAAATAATTAATTATATCCCGGGAATCTGGGAAACAGATCACTTTTTTCTCGAAATCCCGGGAGAAGAAAAGAATCCGAAAATGAGAAACCCTACACGGGAGACACGATCCTTTCACTACTCGGGTACGGAGAGACGATTCAAGAACAAAGCAATCGATGGCTATTGCTTTGTTCCTGTGTTCTATTTGTTTTCGCGCCTGTTTTCCATTAAGCGCACGTAATACTGTTTTTATTTTTGACCCCTAGACCTAAATTTCGTTAGGTGCGCTAGTCGTATCAGAGAGTATAAACATTGTCACTGCAATACCTTTGTATATCGAAAACGAAATTATGGACTCCTATTTTTACTTTCCTGGCTCTGTAATAGATACCAGAGTAAAAGTATGGCGATCGGTAAAAAAATGACCCGAAGATTTTTACATGTTTGGACTTAGGGAAACGTCGAGAAATGCAAAAATATTCAGAGTTTTTTCTCTATGTATGGATGTTAATATTTGTGTGGGGAGGATTTTGTTTATCCTCTTTGAAACTTAATAACTTCTGTGCTTTTTGTCAAAAATTTCTGAAATTTTGCAGGAGATTTTGTGTATTAGAAAGATTCATGATATTAAATTTTGGTGGTTTAAGATCGATGGGGTGAGGAGATAAAGGATGCTGGTGTGTCATATCTTGTGTAGGATCGGACTTAATGATGACTTTACTCGTTATTAGCATTTAGAATTTTTTTATAAAACCTATCCCTACCCTTAAAATTAATCTTTTTGCCATTTTATAATAATTAAAAATCTAAACAGATTTTTTAAATGATATATCGTAACAGATAGCGTCACTAGAATTTTAAATGTCGAGAAAGTTAAGCGATGGATTTTTTACATTAAAATGGACCGACATTACATTTCTGGATTCCTCGTCTCAATTAATGGTAAATGGCAAAGTTTTAACAAAATCGATCCATTAAATTTTGAGAACGAACTCGATTCTATAAGCCCATACAAAACGTGCCAGCGACGAGAAATATCGCGCGACTTTGTCGTGCCATACGTGCGATATCGCTTTTTTTTCACGCCTTATATCTCGAAAACGAAGTCATGGACCCCCCTTTTTTATTGCATTTTTGGATTTCGCATCGCAATTAATAGAAAATGGCAAAGTTTAATGAAAATCTATCGAACGGATTTTGAGAACGAACACAATTCTATAAGCCTCATAGAAGAAGCTGTTTTAATAATATAAAAATGAATTTTTAATAAAATGGCATATGTCATCACATACAATTTTAACTTTGAGCTATTCATGTTGTTTTATTAAACTTAAATTTCCCTGTTAAAAATTATATATTTATCATAATTTAACAAAATTACTTCTTTTAAGCTTATACCAGTCGACTCCACTACAACACTTCAGATAATTCCGTGTTATATGAATTCCATGTTGTACGAGTCGCTTAGATTTTACAAATACGTGTGCCGGGCTGTGAACGGCTCACGTATTTGTAAAATCTAAGTGACTCGTACAACATGGAATTCATATAAAATAGAAAAATCAACAGTGTTATACGGGAGTCGACTGGTATTTTATATCGTAGTATCCTATGA